CACCTAGTAGTACAGACTTAGGGACCAAGGGAGTTTGGGACCTACAGGACAAGGCAGCAGCTACATCATGGTTATGAAGACATGACAGCACCTAAAATGTGAGCTCAGCAATCACAGGATTCTGGCATCCTGTGCTAAAAGAACAACCAGGGATCTCTCACGCAGTGAATGAATCAAGAACCAGAAGGTTGGGAAAATGAATCCATCATTTTGTGACTTGCAGCATGTAAGGAGCTGAAAGCAATTGGAGTTCCTGCTTGTCTTCTGTCATAGCCAAACACAAATTGATTGGAGTCTGGTGATGTGCAATGTGGGGAAAAGCAATGCGTCTCACACAAGAGGGCAGGTGGTAGAGAGCACATGGCTCAAATACTGAATGAATGGCAGGAAAATATGCCCTCCCTAAACTTCATAAAATGGATTGTACAGATAGCAGTAAATCAGATACCCAGCCCCTCACCTCCCCCCCAGTACAAATCCTTCCTTGGAAGCACCACTAGAAACCCCAGCCCATTCAGACTTAAGGCTAAATAAAGTAGAAAAATGAAACATCCAAAGTTGCCTAGAAATTTGTGAAAACTGATTTAAACAACCTCAAGCTGATACATGTTCCTCAGCTTTTCATGACCAAGCTTTGCTTTGGAGTTAGTCACAAATTATAACATCAGGCAAAGGTATGGGATCTACAGGGTCAGACCCCAGTGAGTTAAAAAAAAAAATCCACAACAGTTGGCAAAGTCCCCAGGTTGTGATTCCAAATACCAGCAACCAGGAAATACTGGACAAGAAACCAATAGAGAGAGGGAGAAAGAACAAGAAATTGCCTGCACATACATGTAAGAACACCTTCTGCTTTAGATGTGTTTTCTCTCAAATCACCACAGCCAAATGCTGCATAAGTTATGTTTGTCAGGTTTTGCTGGAGACTAATTTTGTAGCAGGAAAAGTATAAGCATGTGTTAATTGTTTGGAGCCCTCTGAAGCTGCTACATCAAACCAAAGGGCCAGTAGGGGACTGCTTCGTATGTCCAGTCTGCTTGTTCCTTAACCCCCAACTACTTGTCTTCATTCCTATCCAGCTCAGCCCTGGCGTCAGTGCTTCAAAAATCTTTTTGATAAGCTTAATTCTTGTTGTTTTCCATCCAAAGACACGGCAAAGGCACCTGAATTTGGGCCAAAGAAGGGGAAGTATATCTAAATCTGACCCAAGGCTGCTGCTACCACCAGGAAAAAGAGCTGTAAGTCAGTGAGAGTGGGGTGAGCAGGAGACACTGGCAGCTGGAAGGAGCCAGAGAAAAGGAAGTGGGATAGACAGAAAAAGAAACACTCACTGGCTGGAAAGAGCTTGGGAAGGCGGGGGGGAAGAGTACCCAGGTGCCAAAATATGCAATCGTAACCCCATGTATGAAAATTTATTTTTTTAGCAAGAACACAGTAGGAATATACGGATGTTTACATGCACGCAAATACACTGAATTCCAAATAAACTATTTCCAAGTAAGATTTTTTTTTAAACTTCAAATTTCAGCAAATAATCATCCCCTATCCACAAACCAAAATTATCTTTTGAAGATTATAAAATAAGAGTCACATGTACCTTTCTTAGCCAAGAAAACATTACCTTCTTCTCAAGGCAACTCTCTTCATTAACCGATCAGTCTACTCTTTTCATTAATTGTGTCCCAATGAAGCAATCAAATAAATGAAGTAGACAGAAAAGAACAGACACCTTCGGGGGAAGGCTTGGTTTTAGGAAGGTCAGTTCTAGAGCAGGTGGTTTTACTTTATCATCTTGGCACACATGCCCAGGCTGCCACAAGTGACCCGCCTGAAGCTTTTCAACCTGTGGCTGCTCTGATAAAAAGAGCAAAACCAAACTGCAAACTTTACAAACAAGTCTACTTGAAGCTTCCTGCTTCGTTTAAAACATGTGTAAAGGTGAGAAGGGACAAGAGCCAGGACAAGACAGGCAGAATAGGACCTCCTATTTGCTTTCTACATTGTAAAGAGAACAGCCATAATTAGAACGGCTTCTAATTATAACCCCCGCCCAGGGTAGCCTATATGGCCCAATGAGGACTATCTTATCACATCCCTCCCACCTAGTTCATCAACTAGCTGCATAATTTCCATCCAGAGGACACTAAGGCAACAAAAAAGCCAACTCAAAAATAATTTAGGCCCTGAAGTCACCACAGAAGGGAAATTTAAAGCCCCATACTGCACTGGGAAATACAGAACTCCTAATGAGCACAGAGGTACTACTAAGCTGAGCCTCAGAAGCCCTCTTCTAACCTCTGAGGGCTTAGGATGCACAGGTAACCAATAAGTGTCTTCACAGGGGCTCAGCACACACTACTGGTGCTGTGACCTTCTCTAGCACACCCTCATAGCCCACAGCCACTGTCACTCAGATGACATTTAGTGCTGGTGGTTCCCCTCCTTCATATAATACCATATGTAGGCAGAGCATTTGTTAAGGTCAACTACTATGTGCCAAGTCAAACTTGGCTTTCAAATAATTCAATCTCCCATCGCTGCCTCTGGAGAGGGTGACTTAACCCCCTAGAACAAATACATGAGTAGACATTTTCCTCCCAGCCTGCCACTGGACATCTCTATAGTGAAAAAAAAAAAAAAAAATGATTCTTTGAGTGTGACCTGTAGCACTCGGAATTTTGAAACAACCTAGATTCTTCAGTCATTTCTGGTTTGAACTGACAACTGTTTGGTGTTAAGCATATACTGGAAGTCCTCAATTCCAGCCAAATTTCCAACCTCTGATGATGTAACCCTACTTGAAAGTAGTGGGTGCATGTTGGGAGCCAAATCACAACTCCATAGAATTCATTGTAATTGTCTCAAAACAGTAGGTCTGTGCCTCAGTTTTGTTGAGCATGTTATACCATACCCAGCCTGCATCTTCTGAAATCTGAACAAAATTATCTAAGCAGCACAAGAAATACAGGGACACAGGAAAATAAAGAAATCACAAAGTTGATTTTTTTCTTAGAAATATATTTTGTAAGAAAACAATATTAACATTAAAAAGAAATGTTTATTATACAGTATAAAATAATTGCTTGAATTCAATTCAGTTCCTTACAAAAAAAAAGCCTGAGGATTTGTATGAAGCCTCAATTCCTACAGATTTGTGTCTTTTGCCTTCTGTGATTCCTAACTGTACTAAAGAGCAGGTTTTCCCCACATCATTCTTAAAGGACCCAGACAAAAACTCCTAAAACCTCTCTCACCCCATCCCCAGCAAGTTGCTGTTCCCTCCCCAGATGTGCTCTAAATATCACCTGTAATATTTGCAGCTCTCTCCTGTGTCCCCCATATCCACCCTCAGATTCCATCCACCAATCTCTTTTGGGCAAGCAACCACACAAGCAACAACACACGTTGCAGCTAGCTAGGAGTCTCCCTGTGTTATTTTGTTGGCTAACATGAACAGTGGCCAGCCACTGCCAAATTATGTATAAAGGCCAAGTTGTGCTCAGTTGTCTGTTCTCATAAAACCTGTAGGAACATCTTTTAACACTGCCATTCATCTGCCAAATCTGGCAGAAGTGTGCAGAGGTTTAAAAGCTAGAAGGGGGGACAAGGACAGGCAAAGCAATGACATAAGCTTCACTTTTTAAGTAAACTAAGCTAAAAAAGTCATTACTCAGTTGCAGAATTTACAACTTGCAGATTTTGTTGTAGGAAAATATGCCTGTTCAGTAACTATAAATACCCCTAATGCATTTCTGTGGCTTATTATGTACTAATTTTAAAAAAAATATTTTTTTTAAGGTAATGTCAGCTTTGTAATGTCAATTACCCTCTAGGTTTGAAAGGCACCCAGTGACCAGCATTCTGGTGTAATTATTCATGACATTGGTGTGATTTCCCCCTCCTTCCCAATAATACTGACAAGTTTAACAAAAATCTATTAAGTTAAAAAGAACAAAGATATATATTACATTTGCTAATTGCAAACAACTTCTCATAGCTGCAATTTTTCCCATTGGGATTAAAAAGTGCACCAGTTTAACATGTCTGTACATTAAAAACAGTTTAAAACATTAAATATACAAACAGCAAGAGATTTTAAATATCTTGTATCAAATACTATAGGACAATATAATTTACATTTTTTTTTTTTTACACAAAACATTACACCTGAAATATAACTTTAGATATTACAGAATATAAAAATACATACTTTTTGTCTAAAAAATGTCTTTGCAGATTCTGGCACAAAGTAATACTTTAAAGGCACACCGTATTCTGTTAGTCTGTATTTGCAATTAACTGTGCAACAGGAATAAAAATTACCTGTAATTAATCTTTTAGAACTGCAAGGCCAGAGGATCTCCCTTCTTCCTGGAGTAGCTCTTTTAATCAGGTAAAAACTTAAGTTGAACTGTTTAGGTGTTCTGCAACTCATTTCTGCCATGGCCTGAGCTCTCCAACCCTAATCCAGCAAAGCAAGAACAGACTTAACTAAGCATGTGAAAAGCCACATCAAATGTAAAGGGATTAGTTGTACTTGCACAATCTTTGCTGTCTCAGGGTCAGAATGCTCAACTCCAAGCAAAACTGAGCCCTAAATGCAAGTTGGTAGCCAAGTTTTGTCCTGCCCTATGTTTCCATCAAAACCAGTAAGAGGAGCACAGGTTAAAAAGTCAGGGCAGAACTTGGAAACAGAAGTTCAATAATATTAATTGCTCTGATTTCAACTACACCAATGTAAAAGTCATAATGACTCTACAGAAGCCAGTGGAGACATATGAAGTAAAATTGCTATAAGACTGAACCAGGAGAACTATGTAATTTTGCTCTTCTGTGCATTCCTGGGACTCCCACTGGAGTCAGCACAGGGCAAAAACGTGTCTTCAGAGATATATGGCTTATACAGATGAAATTGGGTTGCAAAAGATTTTCAGTTCTGTTTTCAATTTGTTTTTGGACCACTGAAAACCCAAACAATTTTCAGAACACTAAAGAAATATTCAGTCTAAATCCCTCACTTTAAATGCCCCAAAATAAGTTGCTTCTTGTGATGAATCCAGTAGCAATGGGTTTGATACCTGGATAGTTATCATTTCACCAGATTTTAATTTAAAAAATCCTCCTACATTAACAGAATAAAAATGGAATTCTGAATTCCCTGACCAGTATTTGGTGCTTCCTCCCTTCATCAACACATCGGAGCGCCTTATTTTAAGGTTTGTCTTAGTCATATACACCATCAGCTGAAGCCCTCTTTTAGTCAGGTTTCCTGAAGTTTCATGATGCCTAAAACAAATGTTGGCATAAAGGTAGTAATATCCATCTTGATTAACAATTAGTTTTCCATCACTGAATGTCATATTTGATAAGTTTGCCTGGCCTTTGTCATGATGCCAGGATGTGAGGTTCACTTTGCGAGTTCCTGAAGAGAGGGGAGAAAAAAATATATATATTTATAAACATTTAACAAAACTCAACATTTAGAAAGCAATCCTTTGTTTTTTAGAATCAATAGCAACTACAATTACATAGGCTAAAGTGAATATTAGACAATTATAATAAAAATTCATAAGAAACTTCCTTTTTTCATTATGCATTGCCATATTTGGCTTACTATTTATAACTGTTTGCCCTTCCACCAGAACAGCTGCTGGACCATGGTACAAAACATTTACTTGGCCACTAGTTTGATTATGCTAAGCAATCATGTAACAAACTCTGTATAGAAATTGTGTTCCACTTAAAACTCTATTCAAGTTACAAATACTTGAGAGGAATTTGAAAAGAAAAGTTACTAATGAAAAAACAGCAAATCTTTTTATCAGTCTTTAACCTGCAAGTGTTTGCAAGGAATAACTAAACAAAACCTGAAAACAAGCTGAGAATTCCCCAAAGAGAAAGTTTACAAAACCTTCTCATATTTTATCTTCTTGTGACTGTAGTGGTACAAAGTTAAATATATTTTCATTTGAGAAGACAAAAAAATGTGGAAAAAAACCAGTACAATTGTGCATCTTTAGTACTACACAATAAGTTGCCCAGATTTTAGACAGCATTTATGACATAACAAACCTTGTTAGACAAAAACAAGGTTTAGACTTAACCCAGTGTTTGCATATGATATATGGAATAAGGCTCCACAATCTGGTTTAGTCATACCCTAGATATTTAGGATAGTGGCCCATAGCACCATCCTAACTCTTTGATAATTGTACAAATACTTATAGCTGGGCAATTATAGCTATTTGGAAGGTAAAGTCAGATTCATTGTCTAATATCTAGTGGAAGGTCTTGGAGCTTAAAGAGCTTTAGGAAGACAGATGTGATTCTGGATGCATTGCTCTTTTAATTTTCTTCCCTTATTTTTATGTGAAAGTATCTTAAGTTTCAAACTAGAAACAATGAGCTGATATTCCACGCTTGGAGAACAGTCCCTTTCAAGTTGTCTTAAGCACAGACCCACAAATTAGGAAAGAAAATTATGATAATATTCTCTTTCTCTCCATAGAACATCATGCATGTGGGAATCAAAATACATGCGTAACAGTTACCAGGTCTGACTACCAAAAAGGACAGATTACTAGAATTAACATATGTGAACAAGCATTACTGAATTCCTTCTAACAGGTACATGTAAGTCTTTTCAGCTCTGTCTGCACGATGGTGGCCTGGTAAACAGGAAGCTGTCCCTTATCTGTTAAGGTGATGGAATGCTCTGTGAAGAGAATGAAAACGAGCTGAGAGACTGGAGATGTTTTGATTAGTTTGATTAGTCAGCTCAGCACTGTCACTGAAAGCCAACTTCACATACACTGGTACAAATGTCCCTCAGGAACTCGGGCCCAAAAGGCATCTCCTGGGTACTATCATCAAGTATCCACATTGTATCATCTCTTGGAGGTTTCAAGCTGGTCAAATCTCGGATGTCGTTTCACATAGATCCTGAGCATTAGGAAAAGGTACTTTGGACATTAGGAAAAGGTTCTTCACTGAGAGGGTGGTCAGTGACCTCAGAGAAGTGGTCAAGGCACTAAACCTGTCAGAGTTCAAGGAGCATCTGGATAACACTCTTAGTCACATGGTTTAGTTTTAGGTAGTCCTGTGAGGAGCAGGGAATTGGACTTAATGATCCTTTTGAGTCCTTTCCAGCTCAAGATATTCTATGATTCGACTATCGAGGTTGTGCTAAGACATGGCCTGGCAGGAGGTCACATAGGCACTGGGACAGAGCTTTTGAGTCTTCCTTCAAAACCTGGTCACATTTGACACTTCAGTTTGGTTTTGGTGGCACAGTGTTAAGAAGCAGCCTGCAACACCAGCCCAGATAGCACTGCTACTGCAGCACATGTATTATGTACACAGTATTCTCTGTTGAGGAGTATGCCCTGCAGCAGTCATCCCACAGTCCCCTCCACCTCTCCAGCTTCATCACCATCCTGTTCTAGCACCCACCTCATCTGACAGCCTCTGCCTACAAAAACAGAGGAACAGGCAACAGTAGGAGGAGAAGATCCAGCCAAGGCCCATGGGCATGCCCACAGAGGAAAGAGCACTGTCCTGAGAGAGTGTGGTGGACAAAAAGCCACACAGGCCCTGACCCTTCCTGATATGCACAAGCTACTAACACTCTACCATTCACTCAGTGTAATACACAGGGCATAACACAACAGGGGACAGTTGGCCAACTTGTCCTCCTAACCACTAGCAATTTTCAGCATACAAGGCTAACTCCATTTGCTCTCTCTGAGGCATCCACAGCAGTGGGTCCACACAGACACCAAAAGACCTTACACTTTAGGCTCCCAGTGCATCTAAATGCTTGCTTGGAATATTCAGTACCTTATTCTCCCAACATCAAACCAAAACAAAATATTCCCACCAAAATTTCCATGGGATATGGTAGCACTCAGCACCCTCTCATCCAAGCATATATCAAGGCATGCCCCAGAACCACCAGTGCTCACAAGCATGCTGGGGAAAAGCCCCAGATATATTTGATTAGTTAAAAAGATGCCTTCTAGATTTGTTTGTGCAGAAAGATGTCAGAGGAAGTAGGGATGGGGGAATTTGAGAGCTATGAGTCTTCCTTAACTGCCAAGGGCAAGCAACTTCTGCATATGAGAGGGATACTTTAATAGTAGTCCAGAACAAAAAGCTTCTGGCATTCTTCCACGAAGACTTGAGCAAAGCACAGGCTGTCAAAGACAGATCATAAATAGTTGCTCCCCTATGGCTCCAGTACAGGCAGGTAGAAATTATATAAGCAAAATCACACAGAGAAGCTGTTTTCTGTGCAGTGCCTCAAAAAAAACTTGTGAAAACCATCAATTAATTGGAAGCTACACTAAGATCATAAGTCTCTCAGCCTGGAATTATTCACTACAAGAGATGCTGAGAGAGGGGTACCAGAGTACACCTCTGAAGCACTGGGGATTGCTGAGGAAGTTATAGAACTTCTTGTGCAAAGTCTTAAGTCTGCCAGAAATACTGCCCAGCCTCAATCCAGTAGCAATTTTGTAGAAATCCTTAGTGCGAATGTGTGACTCTGCTGAAGAAGGGGGAAGAGAGGAAATAGATGCCACAGTCACTTGTAATTGAGGTGCTGAGAGGGGCTCTGGGTGAAGTTTGTTCAGATCGTTTTGGTGTTGAGAGGAATGCACATCATTCTCCCATGGGTCAGGTGGAGAGACAGGCTAAGAGATGATGGAAGACGACCCTATCTGTTTTGAGCAGAGGATTAGCCTAGATAATTTCTGGAAGTCTCTTCCAACCTAAATTATAACGCTATGATTATATTAACTGAGGAGGATAGGCATTTTGCCACAATTTGGAGCTCCAGAAGAGCCAGCAGCACAGCACAAAGATGCATTGGCAGAAGTTATACCATGCAACCTTTAATGGAAGGCACAAGCAGGTTCTCAGCACTTCTACTGGCAATATAACCAAATTTGAACACATCAAAACAATTGGCACCTAAAAACAGGCAGAGGAGAAAACTGGAGCGTAGAAGTGCCAAATCAGCTGCCCTTATGCCAGAAACTGAAACATAACCCCAAGACATGGGACAATCAGAAATGCTGCAATACAGTATCTTCTGTGATAAAATTTACTATGGAGCCATGAAAAAAATAGGAAAAGGTAAGTCATGTTGACAGAGAAGGAAGAGGTCAGAGAGATAATGAGTAAGACAACCTTCCAGACATGGTAAAAAGCATTAAAAGAAAAGATAATACACATTTTCTGGTAACTGAAGGCAAATCAAAACAATGTCTTGGATATTTGTGAGCATGAACTAAGACTAACAGAAATTAGTTTCAATAAAATTAATTAGTAAGAAGGAAGGTTACGAGAGCAGAACAGAGGAGAAAGCCCTGTGTTGATAACATGGTTGCATCCTAGTCACTTTCAGGTATAGAGAAAGCTGGAGGGATGGACCAAAGAACTGTTTGCTCTGAAAAACTGTTTTGGAGGCAAAGAGCAGCTAAGCCAAACCCGTAGCTGTAAATAGCTCAGAATACTACAGCATTTCCTTAGACAGCTAAAGGTATCAATTCACATCCCAAATTATATACTTAATATCTAAATTTATTTCTGTTTGTGATTTTCTCCTTTAAACTGTGACTAATTTCTGTAATCAATTTATAAACCAAAATTAACTGTTTTCATTTGAAACCTCAGTAGCATCTATAGTGAGCTCTGGTAAAAAGCGACCAGCAAGCATCCAGCTTTAACCTAAGGCAGCAAACCTAAAAAATACACACAGCAAGCCAAACCACTACAGCTTCTGCAGCCAAGTGATGGGTGGGGACACCAAGATCTGGGAACGGTTATTCCCCCCCTCCCTTGCTCTCTCCCCAGCTGCAAAGGTCTATTTGGGGCTTGGTATTATTGTGAACCAGGTAAAAGGAAAATATTCCCTCACAGACACTGTTCAGTCCCCCTTCATTAAAGGTGTTCAGTGGCAAATTACTCAAAATGAAATCCTGTTTGACAGTGAAGACTGATTTTTCTTTCCCCCCCCCCCACCAATGTTGTCTATTTTGGGTCAGAGTGATGACAGTAGAGAAACAAAATACAAAGAACAGATCTGTCCAGACTCACAGATGGCATAAAGCAATTTACAAGTATTTCAGACATGTAGGGTAAGGAATTGGGAAGAAAAGAGAAATTGCCATTTGCATTCAGAGGAAACAGGATGGGAGAGAAAAACTGGTGAGCCTCAGGCAAATTCTTCATCCTTTATGCCTGTCTTTAACCTCTATGCCACCCAGCCAAGTGGATACGTCTTCATACCAGTGAGCATGATACTAAAGTGCCTCACAGCCAGTAGGTCCAGGGTTCCAGCCGTCCATAAGGCAGCAGCCCCTCACTGCTGCGATGCCCACAAGGACCTGCCCAAGGAAGTTGTGGATGCTCCCTCCCTGGAAGTGTTCAAGGCCAGGCTGGATAAGGCTTTGAGCAACCTGGTCTAGTGGAAGGTGTCCCTGCTGATGGCAGGGGGGTTGGAACTAGATGATTTTTAAGGTCCCTTCCAACCCAAACCATTCTGTGATTCTATGATGACCGCAGAAGCTGTGCTCATGATTAACATTCCAGTAATGCTCTTCCAAAAGAGGCAGAAGCCATATGTGTCAGATCAGGAGGGAGTATGTACAACTCATCACATTGGTAAGGGGTTGATCTGCTCCAAGGAGAAACAAAGCAGCTTGTTATCACAGGCACTGTATTTCTGAGAGTTCCTGCAGCCTGTGCTATTAAAAAAAAAAAGAGAAGAGAGCAAGCAAGAGCAAAGCCTCCCTTGCCATTACCCACAGATATGCTACATCACTCTCTAGAAGGTGAATGCAGTGATGCACAACAGTAAAAATTATCAGCTGCTATCCCTAATAAAAATACAGGTTATAGCCACATCCAGGTAGACAGCAAATAAATTCCCCACAGGAAAAGGTGGATTTCACAAAGTGTGACACTGACACACTCCAATTCTGTAGATATAAGTGACCTGTCTCTGTGATGTGATTAGCAAATTAATTGAATCTTTCCAAAGACAAAATGCTAAGACAAGTTTACTGATACTGCATCTTATGCTATTGACCTATGTCAAAAGCCACAATCTAACTGAAACAGAAGCTTGTCAGGAGGCATTTGAGCTACTAAGAAAGCTTGTAGAAGTTCTGACTGCCATCTGACGAGTTCCTTAAGGTCTCTGCTTACAAAGCTCTGGTTCTTGGCAATGCCAATGCACGTGAAGGGAGAAAGAATCCTGTCCCTCCAGGCATGAAGCTAACCCCTTGTGTACTGAAATGCTTTGTCTTTAAATAGAGCAAGAGTAAGGTATTACTTATGCAGGCTGCTGAAATCTCAGATTTCAAGCCTCAACACAGCATTCCCCTTTGGTTTGGTTGTATAAAGCAGAAAAGCAATGCACATAGCTTAATTAACAAGGAGTTCAGCCCTGCAGAATGTACACATCTTCAGAGGAAGATGATAGTGGTGTTCAATGCCCTCTCCTATCTGGAGATCCTCTGTCTGACAGCTTCAGAATAAACTCTGGTTTACTTCTACCACACCAGTGATGATTGTTGTGTTGAGAATACAGAGAGAAAAATCTCAACTCACAGTGCCCCAGGGCAAAAAAGGGAAACAGTACTAAGATATCTTAAAATTGTAGGAATATATCTTTTCCTCCAGAGAATGTTCCAAGGCAGATTCATGTCTTGTTCCCTCATATTGTACTAGCGAGGATATTCCCAAAGCCATCCAAAGATACCTGTGGGTAGAGAATAAGAGCTCTGGCAAGATAAAAGAATGCCATCCTCTTACCATAGGAGCAGATAAAAGCCACGTGAACATTTTTTTCCCCCTACTCAATAGCTCGGAAACATACTGCATCCAAGTCTACACACTGACCAGAAACCCTGTTGCTCAGAGTAAGTGCCAGGATCTTTTTCTTCCTGCTACCGGACTAGATGGATGCAGACAGACCCTTGAGAAGCTTTGGCATGTCTGAACATCAGGAAGGCCCTAGAAGCCTTGATGTGAAAAAATTCTATACCAGCCCTACAGCATAATAACGAACAAAATATGACAAAGCCTTTTCAACATGCCATTATCGGAAGGAAACACTTGCTATAATTTCAGCCCTATGCTATGAGAGTGCAACGTACCCACAGAGGGCACACAACTACCTGGCCAAGTTATAATAACAATATTGGGACTGCAGTTCTAGGTTTTCAACACCTCAAAATGAGAGATGTGCTTCCTTTATGGCAAGTTCTTAACTGATGGGCACCTGATGTGCACTGTGTATTCATATAAGATTCTCAGCTTCCAGGTCCATCCTGAAGACAAATTCTGTGTCACCGACTACAGACCCGATTACACTTCAGCACACAAAGGGAGTGGTGCTGCAAAGGATTGAGTAGGTGGACATAAGACATTCTTGAATTTTACAACAGAAAACAACACATTTCTTCATCTGACAACAGGACAAAAACAATCTCAGACTCAATGGAAGGGAAACATCTTCCAATCTGCAAATCTGGATTCTGGCCAATCTTGGTGCTGGTATATCCTTGTATGTATGTGTGCATGTATGCATACATCTGTGTGTGTGTATACCTACAGCTGGTTGCCAGTGTGAGTGAAGAAATCCAGATGGGCTCTACTAACCAAAGAAAATAAGAAACTTCAGAGGAGAGCATTCAATGCATATCTTCATTGCTCACCTGAAGACAGCACAAAGAAGCAAGCCAAGCCCTCAGAGCTGGGTCATGAAAACTGATCATTTAAAATGGAGGCTACTCAGCACATAACAGACTCATGGAAGATACCCAAGACAAAGGGGAGCTATCCTCTTGTTAATGTTACCCCTGCTGCCTCTGAAATCCTTTAACACATCCAACTTATCCTCATAATCAAAAACTGTTTCTGAAATCCCAGTCTGTTGCTGGTATCGCTGAACTAGTTTCATATACTTCACTGTTTAATACTTTTAGAGTAGCAGGGGAAGCATTCACTTAAAACTGAACTTACCAGATGGAATATTCTTATCATCAATAATGAGATGGGCAAAAGGCTGCTTCTCAGGTTTGCTTCTCTTGTACAGCTCCATTCCTAACGCCTCCATTGCAGCTAGAAATAAAAGAATTGCAACACTTCAGAATGACAAATTTAGTAGAATTAAAATATTTCTGATTCGTAAACCAGCACCTACCTTTTTCTGGTCTTGGCGATGCTCTTCCCATGACACGCTGGATTTCCTAAAATGAGAAAGAACCATTGCTTTGATGTTGTCTTGTTTTTTGTAATATTGTGTATTGCAGGTAGTTTGTACAATTACATCACTCTGTGTGTATGCATATGTAGGGGTTGTTCTACCTACAGCATATTCAGATGCCTGGGATACATCATGTAAATATGAGAATATGTATAATATGAACACACAGTTTAGCTGCCACAATCAAATTACTTTTTCTGTCCAATACATCTGATAAAGGTGGAGAGGAATGATGGTGTGTATGATCACTGCACTATTTATTGAAGTAGCGGTGACAGGACATTTATAACCTTTCCTACTTACTGCACTTGCAATATTTCTCTAAGTATAATGGAAAAATGACTGCTAAGAATGTATCACATAAAACAATGGAGTTTATTAACTGATTTAATTACATGGAGTCAAAAGGTAACAAAAGAAGCAGTTCTACATAGGGACTAGTGTGTAAGCACACTAACAACTAAGGAAAGTTAAGCTCTGAATTTCATTTGTGATAAGGTAAATTAAGAGGTAGATGAAAACCTCCACCCCTCACGCTTGACCACTAACAGGGGGGGTGCAAGACTACAAGGGTTTTTAATCCAGGCTCACTTCTAACAAGGTATGCAGGAACTGAAGGATAAAGCATCTTCCACATCTCTACTGGGCCAAATAGAGTGAGTGCCAGAGTTTGGAAGTATGCATTCTTCAAAACTGCAGATCAATTTTAACATGAATGAAGCCCATGTTACCCAACTACAAGTGACAGACATCGGGCAGGCACCACAAAAAGTCTTGCTTTTAATAATCCACATCTGTTTTTCTCTTGAGAAAACATACAAACAGCAGTTTTCAAAAATCTTGGTAATCAATCCTCAGTTCTGTTCCCTGTTCCCCCATGACTCTCTTCATCTCTGTTTTCTAAAACACAAGGGTAATATTCTACTTGCTATTCAGAACACCTCATACCATTGAACCATCATGAAGGTGTTTAGTAAAAGGAAACATTTTGCCGAAGATCGTAAATTATATCTCATCTTTGAAACCTAAGAGTGGTTCTTTTTTTGTCTTTATGTCACACATACTGCTGGTTGTCTGATTCAATACCATGTATATGCAGTGCACCTCAGTCTGGCCAAATCAGCAATGTTCCACTGTGTTCTCAATCACTGTGGTGTTTCAGAATTTGAAATCCTGCTTTGAAAAACACCTAAAGCCCTGCTTTTATGTAATTTTGCAGCCACAGTGAGATCTGTAACGCCTTAGTTGGTGCATTTATTACTCTCACTTTCCACTTTCAGTAGGTGTTTAAATGTTAAACCAAAATAAAAAGCCACAGCAGTATGGAAGTTGTAGTATGACTATCAAAGCATAATACTTCAGCAGACGTATGCTGATTCTGTAGATAAGAATCATTAAGATTCTTTCTGCTGTAGAGATGAGAAAAGCAGAAGAATCGCAACTTCAAAAGAAGCAAAACTCATGTCCACCTCCCCCATTTACCCTCACTTCCCCTCTCTGATCTTCCTACTTCAATATCAGTTCTAGGAGCATGAAAATGAAGCTCAATTCTAGGAGCTGCACACCAGCATCAGCCTCTAGCCACACTTGAGCTCTTTAACTTCATCAAAAGTAGGAAGACAACAAAAAATTGCAAGTACTAGATACTTCATAAGGTGGCAAAAGCCTCTGAAGAGAACAGGACATAAGGTGAAAGAAACTAGGAGGTGGACCACACTCTCTGAGAATGCTGCACCACATCTACTCCCACCTCTCCCTAGAAAGAGGAGACTCCTTTGTTTTCTTGCTTTCTCAATGGAAGCTTCTCAGGTGTGGAGTCTGCTTTTGTATCCTTTCCTTCTAGGGGATGTGATAATGTCCTTGCCTGGAGAGCCTACTGGGCAGATCCAAGAAGATCTATGTACATTTTAATCTCCTATTATCTAAACCGGTACTAAAAAAAATTCCTGTGGTTGGTAACTGCACAGCCTTTGAAGTTCCTGAACTGGCCACTCACTATCCTCCTTTTAACTTATATTTTTCTTAGGATTATAGAGTTCAGCTCCTGCACATTTCCAAAGATGCTCTAGCTTGAACAGCTGGCTACCTCACCTTCACAAATATAGCAGCCTGACTCAGCTCATCTCCTATGTGGAAAGGCTGTGGTCCTCATGAAATGCAGTCTGAGCTGCTTTCTTTCTAACTGTTGGTGGCGATGTTCATCTGCAAGATCACCACTTGGTAAGCGAACAGCTACCCAGGAAGACTTGGCTCACAAGTCTCCTTGTCCTAATGGTCTTGAGCCTACTTTCCTGCTTTCTAGGAGCATGTCTTTCTAACAGCAACACTCCCCTGTACTCCTCTTGGAGCTATGCTACTATGCAATTAGGAATGCAAGTGTCTTTACAACAAAAGGGAGATCATAAGCATAGGCCCAACACTAAAACACTGAGAAGAGGAGGAGACTGGCTCTTGCCCATTGACTCTTCTGTGTGCTTGCCATTGGATTAGAAGTGGCTAGTTTGTGGCCAGAAAATAAACCTTTCCATCAGCTGAGTTCTCTAAACACTAGACTAGTGTCAAGTTCTTTACTTGACTCCAAGCAGCCCCAAGAAATTTTGATATTCCTTTCTCTTCTGTTGCCCAAGCTTCCAAAAGGAAGCTGAAATACATTAACTAGTCCCTAGATAAGAGATGGAGTTGTGCATTTCCTCCTGAAGAATAAGTAGCTCAATGCTTCTCTTGATTCTTCACGTTTCTATGGATCCAAAGTGCTGACACACAACCTACCTTAGAAAAGCATTTTTGCACGTACTTGCTTCTAACTCTGAATGACTCAAGGATCACATTTTTCAGTGGATGTCTGAAGATACCCAGATGGCTAAAGATGGCCTCTTAGTGGGATTATAAAAATCCCCTGGTATCCTTACTGCAAGCAGTTAAGAGCTAGGATTTTCCAAAATCTTTGAAGTATCAACTGCATTCTTTAGCACCTGAATGTCTTTAAGCATCTCACACCTAATCACAGTGTACACTAAGCAGAAACAGCTCAACAGAACTTGTCATTAAGACACCACTATAATGGCATAAGAACTGCTGACAAAATATTACCAGTGACTTTCTTAAGACTGCCACCCACAGAACCATGTGCACTAACAAGCTGTTGAGTTATTTTTAGAAAAACTGTACACAAAAAATCACACCACTCTTAGTCTTACAATAAGCTGCACTTGTACACCTTTGCATCATTTGCTGACTGCCCACCAAGTCAACTCTGCTGGTCTGCTTCCCACATTCCAGCCTCCTTCATACAGTCACTGTTTAAACAACAGACAAGCAGCCAGTCACAAAAATGAAAAATGTGTCTTCTTTCACCCAAAGCATTTAAGAGTCCATTGGGAAGCTGCAAAACCTTCACATTTAAGTTAAAATCAGGCCTTAAGTGCCTTGAAAAGTGGGAACTGCTCTTTCATCACCCACAGCAGGCTGCAGGTTTTAACCCTTAGCATCTGAGGACCTTCAAAACAAAAACAACTCTTGCTCTTCAAGTTATGTCCAATGTTGAAGATGCAGAAACAAGGCTACATTTGAACATGTGACATTTGTGAACTGTTTTTCCTCTCCTTTGGCTTTTACAATATCTCAGTATCTACTTTGATCAGCTATAAGTACCCTTTTGAGACCAATTAGAAGAGGACCTTTCTGGACATTCATGTATGGCTTCAGCTGTGATCTTAAAGCTCATTTACACTGTCGTTTCTTCCACTACCTGAGTGCTTTAAGTCCAGCTAATACCAGGAAGAAGTATCTGATTATCTTGATGGAAATTCAACAATCTGAAGAATGCTAATCAGGAAGGAAGTGAAATAGAAAGTACATGAACCAATATTCAAGAGAAGATACGAGATCAGCACTTCAACCTCTATCCAAATGAGTAGTTTATTGCTTGCAGAAAAAAAAAAAAAAAAAAAAAGGCATGTAAGGTTGTAGAATGGAAACTGAAATTTTAACAACTTACAGCAATCACCCGTGAAATCTTGACTTGGTCCATAACTACATGCACTTTAAGTGTCTGCTAAGTATATAGATCTTCATAAGAGCTGCCCTGGAGGTCTAGCAAAGTACTCTGTTGCCATGTGGGAGACTAGTTTACGCCTGAACTCCCCAAGCTGCTAGAAGCTGGGAGTACTGCCAAGAAAAGTTACTTATGAATTGACTCAAGATATGTTTGCAGTCCTTTCTACTTCAGGCTTATAACAGACTTCATAAGAACTGTGGTTAGTGCATCTGGACTGCCAAAAGGATTTTAGGTTTACATGCAAAAAAAAATTAAGCAAACAGACTAGGAAAGTATATTATTTGTCTGCTTTAAAGTTTATATGCAGCAATGTTGAAAATGTGCTTTCTGAGTAAGCTGCTCCCTAAGCAGTCTTTTTATCATAGAATCACAGAATGGTTTGGGTTGGAAGGGACCTTAAAGATCATCTCGTTCCAACCCCCCTGCCATCAGCAGGGACACCTTTCACTTATCCTGAAATATGTTAAGGAATTCATCATTAGATTTTGGCTAAAATATTTTTTTTAATTATTATTTTTTCAGGAGACATTTCTAGACCCCACCTTGAAGCCCTACTAAACTGGTTTTCATAAGAGCACTTTCATTTTCAATGTAATCCTTGCTTTAGATTTAAGCACTAGGACTACAGGTGTGCAAAGAAAATAGATGAGAACAAGTGCAGTAAGCTAAAAGCTGTAACCAGACCATAAACCTGAGCAAAAGCAAGTTGTCTATTTTCATTTCCTGAACAGTTTGAATTGCAAAAGACAAAATGTTGAAAAATCACAAAACTTAAAATGGTATTTTAAAGTGTTCCATTTCAGTCACTTTAACATGCTGCCAATTCAAATAAGGATAAGTGGTTCTTAAAGCACACACAGGTTAGATTCTCCTTCAGGAAAGTGAAGGAAGCACAGAAGATAGGAAACTTCATTCAAGTCACGTTAGCTG